TGCTGGAAAAGGGGGCCGGCAAGCCCCCTTCTCCAAGGGAGAAGTGAGAAGCAGCACCAGCCATTGTCTGAGGTGACCTATATAACCTAGGAGGTTTAGGAGGCGCTAGAAGGGGCTAGAAGGCAGAGACTCAGGTGTAGACATGTGGGCCAGGGGCTTCATCACGGCGGACTTGGATCTATGGCTGCCATCCAAATAGTAGATAAGGGTCCTGCAGCTGCCTAGACCTGAAGATCACTTTTAAGTGGCTCCTGTTGCTTTATATAGTGGAAGCTGCCCCCAGAGAAGTGCCATCCCAAGGTAAAAGGGGTTGGAAGTTGATTATTTACTGCCTTTACTACATGGGCCTAGTACTGCTTAGGAAGGGAGCATGCTAAGCTGTGGAGAAGGGAAGGCGTGGACTAAGGAAGGGAGCTCATTTCGCTAACACTAGTCAAGCACTCTACCACTAAGCCACATTCCTGGCCCCCATTCTCTTGCCTTTTGAACAAATTTTATCATCTAAGACTGTACCTCTTAACAATACTTGGTGCCATATGCATCGATACTGGTTCACAAACATGCAAATGTTGACTTGTTTCTCTTTATATATATAATAAGCAGTATAGCTTAACCCAGTTGGTCTTTAGAGCAGGTTGAATTCCTGTTTTGACTCTAAGCTTGATGTGATCTTTCATTTCCTTCAATTACTTTTAAAAATAAATTTATAGCCAGGTGCCAGTAGTTCACACCTGTAATCCTAACTATTCAGGAACCTGAGGTCTGAGGGTCAGAGTTAGAAACTAGCTGGGGCAGAAAAGTCTGTGAGACTCTTATCTGCAATAAACTACTCAGAAGATAGCTCAGTGGTAGAGTGCTTGCCTTGCATGCATGAGGCCCTGAGTTTGATTCCTCAGCACCACCTAAGCAGAAAAAACCAGAAGTGGCGCTGTAGTTCCAATGGTAGAGCGCTAGCCTTGAGCTGGAGAGCTGAGGGACAGCGCCCAGACCCAGTGTTCAGGCCCATGACTGACAAAAAAAAAAAAAAAAAGAAAAGAAAGAAAGAAACACCCAGAAGTGGTGCTGAGTTTTAAGCAGTAAAGCTTTAGCCTTGAGTTCAAAGAGGCTGGGGGGACAGCACCCAGGCCCTGAGTTCAAGTCCCAGGTCCAGAAAAAAGACAATTTATTTTGCTGGTATTAGAACTTGAACTCATGGTCTCTCACTCTCACCTGGCTTCTTCTTCTTCTTCTTTTTTTACAGGCATGAGCCACAAGCACCTGGCTCACCTCACTTTTTTGCTCAAGGCTGGCACTCTACCAATTGAACCACACCTCCACTTGCAGCTTTTGGGTGTTAATTAGACATGAGTCTCATGGACTTTTCTGCCTGGGCTGGTTTTGAACCTTGACTATCAGATTTCAACCTCCTGAGTAGCTAGGATTACAAAGCATGAGATGCCATCATCTGGCTCATAAAGTTTTTAGAATTAAATTAGTAAATATATGTAAAGAATTTACAGTTGTGGGGCTGGGAAGGTGGCTCAGTGGTAGAGTGCTTGCCTTGCATGCCTGAGGCCCCGGGTTCAATTCCTCAGCACTACATAAGCAGAAAAAGCTGGAAGTGGCGCTGTGGCTCAAGTGGTAGAGTGCTGGCCTTGAGCTGAAGAGCTGAGGGACAGCGCCCAGGCCCAGAGTTCAGGCCCCACGACTGACCAAAAAAAAAAAAAGAATTTAGAGTTGTGTCTATTAAAACTGTATTATCTCTCAACTTACATATTTTTACTTTTTTACAGCTACATAATGGTCTAATATATAAAGTCTCAAAATTACTTCTTATTATTTTGCTATTTGCAGTTATGGTAATTGAGCCCGAGTCCTTCTGTATATTAGGCTCAACCACTGAGCTATATCAGTTACCAGAGGATAGATAACCGGCCCCTAGCTTCCCAGTTTCCAGGCAAAGATCTCATCTTTGCCAGTCCTGGGGCTTGAACTCAGGGTCTGAGCACTGTCCCTGAGCTTCTTTTGCTCAGGGCTTGTACTCTACCACTTGAGCCACAGCATCACTTCTGGCTTTTTCTGTTTATATGGTACTGAGGAATCAAACGCAGAGCTTCATGCATGGTAGACAAGCACTTTACCACTAAGCCACATTCCCAGCCCAAGGATCTCAAATTCTTGAGATCCACTCCTGAAAAGCATTTCAGGGTGTCTCACAAAAAGGAGATTATCACAAGGTAGAAAGTTGTTTTGTTATAGTTATTGTTGTTGTTTGTCGGTCATGGGGCCCATACTCTGGGCCTGGGCGCTGTTCCTGAGCTCTTCAGCTCAAGGCTAGCGCTCTACCACTTGAACCACAGCAACACTTCCGGCTTTTTCTGCTTATGTGGTGCTGAAAAATCTAACTCAGGGCCTCATGGGTGCAAGGCAAGCACTCTACCACTGAGCCACCTTCCCAGCCCACAAGGTAAAAAGTTTTAAAAAGTTTGCTTTAGTAAAAAACAGAGCTAAAGGAAGAAGAAATAAAGAAAAACATTTCTTGCTCCTCATACAGGAAACAAGAGTTGGAGACTCAAATTGACGGTCTCTATCTGTAGCTTTTTTGCTTTCTGAGCTGGGAGAATACCTATAGTCGTATCAGACTAGTGACTCTTTATCCCATCCAAGACCTAGGTAGCCTGCAGGACTTCCTTCTATAAGACATACTTTCCAATCTGTCTTTACCCAACCACTTATTTTGGTTTTGTGTTTAAAAAAAAAAAAAATTCAACAGGTCAGAAGTACAATGCATCTTTTATTTTATTAGGTAGTTGTACAAAAAGGTTACAGTTCCGTAAGTTAGCTTATGAGTACACTACATCTTGATAGACGTCACTTCTTTCATTGTTCTATTCCATTTTCCCCTTCCCATCCTCCCTTCAAGTTACATAGTTGAGTTGTGTTTGTTGTATTTGTTTTGTTCAAGTCCTGGGCCTTGAACTTGGGGCCTCTGAACTTGCTGTCCCTGAGCTTTGGTGCCCAAGATAAGCACTCTACCACTTGTGCCGTAGCTCTACTTCTGACTTTTTAATGTTTAATTGGAGGTAAGAGTCTCACAGATTTTCCTGCCTGGGCCGTCTTTGAATCAGGTTTCTTAGATCTTAGCCTCCTGTGTAGCTAGGATTACAGACATCTGGCCATAGTTCAGTTTTTACATAATGACATTGGTTATAATGACTGCATATTCCTTATTCATGTGTCTCCCATTGGTCCTCCCCCTAAACATGTTTCCACTACCTGGTATTCATTTTGATTCCTCCCCTAAGTGTACCATCAGTTTGTGTATATATGCACAGAACTCTGTATTTGTTATCATTACGTTTGTATTTTAGATACAGCTTCCACGTATTAGAGAAAACATGCCATTTTTCTCTCTGAGTCTTATGTCACTTAACATACTTTTTCCAAGTCTGTCCATTTTTCTGCAAATAACATTCTTTCTAATGGATGAGTAAAATTCCATTGTATGTATATATATTTTCTTTTCTTTTCTTTTCTTTTTTGTTGGTTGTGGGGCTTGAACTCCGGGCCTGGATGCTGTCCCTCAGCTCTTCAGCTCAAGGCAAGCACTCTACCACTTGAGCCACAGTGCCACTTCTGGTTTTCTGAGTCTCACAGAGTTTCCTGCCTGGGCTGGCTTTGAACCATGATCCTCAGATCTCAGCCTCCTGAGTAGCTACTGATGCCTGGCATATGCCACATTTTTTTGATCCATTCATCCATCTGTTAGTACAATGCATCTTGATCAGTGTCTCCCTTTCCATATTTCTCTCTAGTTCTCAGATTTTTACCATTTCAAAGAGGCATATCTCTTAACCTTGTAATTTAACAAGGAGGTAGGTATGGTGGGAAGTGAGCTTAGTTGCTTTTTTCAGTTCACTTCTGGTTTTAACTTCTCAATCTGGACCTTTTGCTATTTCTTGAAAATAATATATTTTCCCTGTCTCCTCATCTATCTATCCATCTTCACTTAACACTATCATTTAGTTTAATCATGATTGATAAGCACTTAAAAGTGTTACCAATAAGATGATAATGCAAACAGTACAACAATAAATACAGTATCCCACACGGAGGCATAGAACTATTGGATACAATTCTAGAACTGGAACTGTTGGGTCAAAAGTACTTTGTGCAGAGTTGTTTTTTTTTGTTTTGTTTTGTTTTGTTTTTTGTCATGGCGTCCTTTGGTTCATGGCTAGCTTTCTACCACTGGAGCCACAGCTCCACTTCAGGTATGGCAGTGGTTAATTGGAGAGAAGAGTCTCATTGACTTTTGCAGCCCAGGCTGGCTTTGAACTTGAGATCCTCAGATCTCAGCTTTCTGTGTAGCTAGGATTCCAGGTGGGAGCCACCAGCTCCCAGGCCAGGTGTGTTTTTTTTAAATAAACATTAGATAATAAACATTAATAAATTAAACTTAGAGACATGCAGAAGCTTGAATAAGAGCGCACCTAGGTAAGGTCAGGTTTTCCACTGCACAGAGGAATGAACTGATGGAGGGAAAGTGACACCGAGCACTGGGTGGCAGAACCAGCGCCCTCGGCGCCCAGCCGGGGGTCTGACCTTCCCGCCCGAAGTGTCGTGGAGCTGCACGCGGGTTCCGCCGTGTGGATGTCGCCATTTGCTGCCGTAACCGCAGTTACCTAATTTTTTAATCTCTCGGGTTGTGTCTCCAGGGCTGTTTTTCTACGCGATCGATTTCGTGTGCGGTCAAACGACCTTGGCCCAGATCACTTAGTCATCCTTCGCTTGCAAGAATTCTGGACTTCGGTCCCCGCCACTCCCGAGAGATCATTTAAATTTCAAGCCGAGCGAACGGGACGCACGCGACGTCCCGCCACCCCCGCCGGGATCTTCTTTTGCAACCCGGCAGTTGCCAGCACCTTTCGGAGTGAAAGCGCACGCCTCTCTCGGGGGCGCAGCGTCTTCATTGGATGGCGCGTGTGTCAATCACCAGGTCTCTATAAATAGAGGAAGCCGGCGGCTGCTGGCTCCGGAAGGCACCGGTGTGGCGTGAGTCGCGCGTTGTGGTCGTGCCGCGCGGGCCGCGTGAGGGAGCCAGCTCTTCGGGTAATATCTGACTGTTAGTTCACGCTAACTCGAGTAGCATTTTTGTTTTGGAAGCCGTCTCTCCTCCCCGCCTCCTGTCTCGGCCGAGGCCGGCGTGATGGCAGAAGCGGCCGCGGGCGCCAGCGGCGAGGCGATGGCGGCGATGGTGGTGGCGGCGGCGGAAGGCTCCTCGGGCCCGGCGATCTTGTCTCTGGGCCGGGGCTTTTCGAGCTACCGGCCCTTTGAGCCCCAAGCCCTGGGCCTCAGCCCGACTTGGCGGCTGACGGGCTTCTCCGGCATGAAGGGCTGAGGCTGCAAGGTCCCCCAGGAGACGCTGCTCAAACTCCTGGAGGGACTGACGCAGCCGGCCCTGCGGCCCCCGCTGGGCCCCGGCTTGGTTGGAAGCCTCGATGAGGTGGCCCAGGAAGCTGGCCTGCAAGCCGCCGCCGCCTTTCCCACCCTGAGCATTGGGATGGACTCGTGCGTCATCCCGCTGAGGCACGGGGGTCTGTCGCTGATACAGACCACCGACTTCTTTTACCCCTTGGTCGAAGATCCTTACATGATGGGGCGGATAGCGTGTGCCAACGTGCTGAGTGACCTCTACGCCATGGGCATTACTGAATGTGACAACATGCTAATGTTACTCAGCGTCAGCCAGAGTATGAGTGAGGAGGAACGAGAGAAGGTGACACCGCTCATGGTCAAAGGCTTTCGGGATGCTGCTGAGGAGGGAGGAACCGCAGTGACGGGTGGACAGACAGTGGTCAACCCCTGGATTATCATCGGTGGGGTGGCCACTGTGGTGTGTCAGCCCAATGAATTCATCATGCCTGACAGCGCTGTGGTAGGGGATGTGCTCGTGTTGACCAAACCCTTAGGAACCCAGGTTGCCGTCAATGCCCACCAATGGTTGGATAACCCCGAAAGGTGGGGTAAGATAAAGATGGTAGTGTCGAAAGAGGAAGTCGAGCTGGCCTATCAGGAAGCCATGTTCAATATGGCTACCCTAAACAGAACTGCCGCTGGGTTAATGCACACATTTAATGCCCATGCAGCCACCGATATCACAGGCTTTGGCATCTTAGGACACTCTCAGAATCTGGCAAAACAGCAGAGAAACGAGGTGTCTTTTGTCATTCATAATCTGCCAATTATCGCCAAGATGGCTGCCGTCAGCAAGGCCAGTGGGCGGTTCGGACTCCTCCAAGGAACCTCATCTGAAACCTCTGGAGGACTGCTCATTTGTCTGCCAAGAGAACAGGCAGCCCGCTTCTGTTCTGAAATCAAATCTTCAAAGTATGGAGAGGGTCACCAAGCTTGGATTGTCGGCATCGTGGAAAAGGGAAACAGGACGGCTCGGATCATTGACAAGCCTCGAGTTATTGAGGTTCTACCTCGTGGTGCCACTGCTGCTGCTGCTGCTCCTGATAATTCCAACGCTTCCTCTGAGCCTAATTCGTGAGATGGAATAGCAGAAGTAGTTAGGAACTTCAAGCCTTTGTACACGATGATGGATGAGTCTCAAGTGTTGATTTTAAGAAATTTCCAAAGAAGCCTGCCTGCATAGTGGTTCCAGCTGCCCTGTCTAGGTGATTCGAATCAAGTCATCAAAAGTGCCCGTGTGTACATTCCAAGGCCAGAAGTAACATTTTGAACTTGGGGGTGGGAGGGGTAGGGACATGTGTTCATCTCTTGGGTAGATGAGGAGCAGAAAAAAAAAAAAAAGCCAAAACCTGCTTTCTCTTTTGAAAGCAAGATGAAGATGAAGCTGTTCCAGTTTGATGGATTTGTCTTTGCACTGGGTTGATTCATTTCTGCACAGGGGGTGAGATTATTAGAATTACCTACACAAAAACTAAATTGCAACATGAAAATGAGAAGCAAATGAGTTTGAACCAATACTATTGATAAGTCTAAATTGCTAAGAGAAATCTTATGATGCAATGTCAAATTCTTTTATTAGATTTTTTTCTGAGGAACTGTCTCTTTTCCTACTCTGGACAAGAGTTGAGCAGCTTGTCCAATGACTGGGAAAGGAGGACATGCAACCACCTGACTTGGTCTCTATTAATGATGTCTTTCCCTCTAAACCCCGGTAAGGACTGGGAAAGGCAGAGCAAGCTCTAGAGCCCAGGCCTTCGTGGTCATTAAGATGTTAAATATTGTGCTGAAAAATTCCTGGTGATTTAATTAATAATTTCTTTTGGTTTAATAAATAAAAGGGACTTTGTTGGAAAACTTGTCTGACTAATGTTTGCTTCTTGGCGATTCTCAAGCTTTTGGCCTTATCAAATAAACTTGTTGATACATTTAGAATCCAGCAAAGTGGAAAGAGTTATTTTCTCTCATCCTGGACCGGGAGGTTTAATACCCAGATTTAGATTTGTATCTTCTTCCTGATATGACACAAAAGGACTGAAAATGGATATATATACTTGAGGAATTCAAGGGCAGGAGGAAAAATAGCAAAGGAAAGATTTGGAGAATGGAAGGGGCTGGGAGAGGGATGGATAAGCCTTAGAAGCTGCCAGGGGAGACCAACAGGAAGTAAACTGATAGGCTCCAGAGGTGCTTAGAAAGGTGAGGGGGTAGGGCTAAGGATGAAAACAGTTGAAAGCTTTTATGCAGTTTAATTAGATCTTTATACTTCTCAAACTCCTCCCATTACACAGGTGACTCACCTCTTGCCTGGGAAAGGGGCAGTCAGGAACACCAGGCACAGCAGAGGACAAAGCAAGAAAAAATTAGACTGCCCACCCTCTTCCTCAACTTAGCCATTAAGTGGAGCAAGGTAGCTAAGTGCTTACCTAGGTTGCACAAGGTCCCAGGTTCAATGCCCAGCGTAGCAAGAAGGAACAAATAAAAATCCTGCTGAGGGGATGGGAAGGTGGCTCAGTGGTAGAGCGCTTGCTTTGCATGCCTGAGGCCCTGGGTTCGATTCCTCAGCACCACATAAGCAAAAAGAAAAAAAAGCCAGAAGTGGCGCTGTGGCTCAAGTGGTAGAGCGCTAGCCTTGAGCTGAAGAGCTGAGGGACGGCGCCCAGGCCCAGAGTTCAGGCCTCACAACTGGACCCGAAAATAATAAAGAAAAATAAAAATTCTGCTGAGCACTGATGGCTTATACATGTAATCCTAGATTCTCAGAACGCTAGACCCAAGGATTGTAGTTTGAAACCAGCTGGGCAGAAAAGTCTATGAGATTCCTTTTCTGTTGTGAACACACACAGGGAATGGGGCGGGAGGGGGGGAGATTCTGGTGCTTAGACTCAGCGTGGGACTGTCCCTTTCTTGCTCTTGCTTTTTTTTTTTTTTTTTGGTTGGTCATGGGGCTTGAACTCTGGGCTTGGGTGCTGTCCCTGCACTCTTCAGCTCAAGGCTAGTGCTCTACCATTTGAGCCACAGTGCCACTTCCGGTTTTCTGGGGGTTAATTGGAGATAAGAGTCTCACAGACTTTCCTGCTGGAGCTGGCTTTAAACCACGATCCTCAGATCTCAACCTCCTGAGTAGCTAGGATTACAGATGCGAGCCACTGACACCTACCCCTTTTTGTAGGTTAACTGGAATTAAGAGTCTCATGGACTTTCCTACCCAGGCTGGCTTCAAACCAAGATCCTCAGATCTCAGTACTCCTGAGTAACTGGGATTACAGGTTTGAGCCACAGGCACCCTTTGAGGCACAAGCACCCAGCTCCATGAAACACATCTCCAATTAGCCAAGAAGCTGTAAGTGGAGGTGTAGGTCAAGTAATAGAGTACCATCCTTGAGGAAAAAGCAAAGGGACAGCATTTAGGCCCTGAGTTCAAGCCCCAGTACCAGCACCAAACGAAGCATATTATTTTATTAAATTTCAATATGCCAGGGATAAAGAGACACTACCAAACAACAGCAAATGGTTCCACAGTATGCTCTGTGCCAGGCACTAAGTGCTTTAGATGTATTAACTCAAAATTCCAACAACCTCGTTTTGCAAATGAAGTTAAGGTGCTGGAAGATTAAGAAATATGTCCAGAAAAGCAAAACAATGTGGCTGGGAATGTGGCTTTGTGGTAGAGTGCTTGCCTAGCATGCATGAAACCCTGGCTTCGATCCCTCAGTATCACATACAGGGAAAAAGCCGGAAGTGGCCCTGTGACTCAAGTGGTAGAGTGCTAGCCTTGAGCAATAGAAGCTCGGGGACAGTGCCCAGACCCTGAGTTCAAGCCTCAGGACTGGCAAAAGAAGAAAAAGAAAAAAAAAACATTGTGTGCTAACTCATACAGAAAGTCTTAACTCCAGAGCTCATGCTTCTAATTGCCATGATTTAAAGGTTTATGATTAAGGATGTTGTCTTACCATGAAGAATGGGAGCTAAAGGACAGTGCTTTCACAATTCTGACAGTAAGTGATTTTTCTAATGTGAAATTCTATTATTTTCCAGGCCTGGCATACACACCCCCAAAAAATCAGCAACAATAATCCTGGGGAAGTTCTTGAAGGTGGGGGTTGAGGTACCTAAAATTTCCAATTCCAGATCCACAGAGTAGTACCAGGATCCTGAAGTTTATTTATTTTTATTTTTGGGGGGGGTCCAGTCGTGGGGCCTGAACTCTGGGCCTGGGCGCTGTCCCTCAGCTCTTCAGCTCAAGGCTAGTGCTCTACCACTTGAGCCACAGCGCCACTTCTGGCTTTTTATCTTTTTGCTTATGTGGTGCTGGAAATCGAACCCAGGGCCTCAGGCATGCAAGGCAAGCGCTCTACCACTGAGCCACCTTCCCAGCCCCTAGGATCCTGAAGTTTAGACCTGAATGCCACCTCTATAGGATAGCACCTGGATAATCTAGAACCATTTTGTATTCAAGGAAGACTGAATGATTCTTTTCCTTGGGACAAGGATGGGGAGGGAGTGTAACTCCTTTGAACTAAAGACACATCTGAGGCAGGAAAGTAAAAGTGGGTCCTAGTCCTTGCTGACCATCTTCCTCTTTTCCTTCAATCTCATTCAAATAGAATGCGAACTAGACTTAGCCCTGAGAGACGATATCTAGGCGTAAGGTCCTTCATTTATAGGATTTTCCCATCCAGCTGATCCTTTACCCGTTCACAACCCCCTCGCCGCTTCGCAAGTCAGGTTCAGCCTGACGCCCACCAGGCACGTAAAGCGCCTGCGCTCTGCGTTCCGCTCTAGTCTCTTTCCGGAGTCAAATTGGTACCTCTCCCTTTAAGACGTTCCGCTTAGGCGGAAGAATTCCAGGGTGAGAGTTTAATAGAGCAACCTTCGAAGCTTCTCCTGATTGGTCCAGTGTGGGTAAAAGGCGGGTTGTACCAAAACCCACGTCGATGATTGGTTTTACCTCCGGTTCTGCCCTGTGAAGGAATGGAGGACGCCTGTGATTGGCCAGGAGCCTCGGAGGCGAGCCCTGAGCGTGGCGCGGGGTTTTGTGCAGTGGCGGCTGCCAGGGGTTGAGCGTTATGTCCCGTGCCGGGGGCGATGCGCGTGGGGAGGAGCGGGAGGATGGCACTGCTGCTGCCGGCTCGTTCAGCTTCAGCCCGGAGCCCACGCTCGAGGACATGTAAGCAGCCTGAGGTCGGGGGGTGACCGCTTCCCTTGTTGGGGAGGGCCCCTCCACCTCCACGTGGTTGGGAAGAAAACTTAGTTGTACTCGGGCCCCGCCTACTCCCTGTTGACCTCTGAACCTTGTCGAGTGCAAAACGGGCTCAGCAGTGCACAACTGAAGCGGAGGAAGTGGGGTGATGCCCAGTTTGGGGGCGGATAACGGGATCTGATGCTGCCTCTGCCCATCTGGAGTTGGGGGGGGGGGGTGTTGGGCAGGGGCAGATGGACCGTCCATTGCGGGGAGACATTACTTCTTACTGGAGGAAATCAAGGAAGTCTTCCTAGAGGAAGTGGCCGTAGCATTGGATAAAACAAACCAATGCGCAGAGATAGGGACATTCTGGGTAGAGGAAACAAGAATATTAGAGGCAGGAGATGGCATAATAAACAATACTATTGTTAGGCTTGGCTTATGGTGAAAGAGGCAGTGACATGCTCAAAGCATCTAAGAAACTACTTGACAGGGGCTGGGAAGGTGGCTCAGTGGTAGAGCGCTTGCCTTGCATGCCTGAGGCCCTGGGTTCGATTCCTCAGCACCACATAAGCAAAAAGCCGGAGCTGAGGGACAGTGTCCAGGCCCAGAGTTCAGGCCCCACGACCGGACCCCCCCCCCAAAAAAAAAAAAAAGAAAAAAAAGAAACTACTTGACAGAATCCTTAATCCCATTGATTTATTTAGTGCTTGAGCTTGAATTTGAGACCTGAGTACTGTATCTTACTTTTTTTGCTCAAGGCTGGTACTCTACCACTTGAGCCACAGCCCCACTTTTGGTTTCTGCTGGTTAATTGGGAGTAAGAGTCTTACAGAGTTTTCCTGCCCCTGCTGGCTTTGAAACTTGATCCTCAGATCTCATCCTCCTGAGTAATTAGTATTACAGGGGTATGCTGCTGGCTTCAGCCCATACCCCCTTTAAATATCACTGGGATACCTGCTGCTTAACCCCATAATCCTGAGCTTGTTCTTCTGCTTGCCTGTTTATTTTTTTTCCAGCCGACGCTTACATGCAGAGTTTGCTGCTGAGCGGGACTGGAACCAATTCCACCAACCTCGGAACCTCCTCCTGGCCTTGGTGGGAGAAGTGGGAGAGCTGGCAGAACTCTTGTGAGTAAATGCAGGCTTCTTGGAAGAGTGTAATGGTGGAGGCATCTACTCCGTAAGAGATGGTGCTGTGGGGGAGAAGGGTGCGAAAAGATGGATAAGAGAACCCTGGAGTTTGGACAGGTGATCCAAAGACCACTGTGTCACAGGATAGATTGAATCACTGCCCCTTAGTTGTTTTTGTTTTGAACTCAAGGCCTGCACTATCTCTGAGCTTTTTTTAGCTCGAGGCTAGCGCTTTACCACTTGAGTCACAGCTCCACTTACAACTCTTTTGAAAGTTCATTGGAAATAAGAGTCTCATGGACTTTCTTGGGTTGGCTTCAAACCTCAGTCCTCAAATCTCAGCTACTAGTTTGATCTAGGCTCTTCATTTTTTATAGATCAGTTGGCATTAACTGTGTGAGAGTTTTCAAAACACTGCGACAATTTTATAAAGTAACACAGGACATGAGGAAGTAACAGAGGGAAGGCTTTCTGAAGAGGTGACATCTGAATTGAGACCCAAAGAAGAAGGAGCCAGCCCAGAAAGAATCTAAAAAGAGCAGGAGGGCTGGGATGATGGCTCAGTGGTAGAGTGCTTGCCTTGCCTGCATGAGGCCCTGGATTCGATTCTTCAGTACCACATAAGCAGAAAAAGCCAGAAGTGGCGCTGTGGCTCGAGTGGTAGAGTGCTAGCCTTGAGCTAAAGAGCTGAGGGACAGCCTAGGCCCAGAGTTCAGGCCCCATGACTGACCAAAAATAAATAAAAAGAGCAGGAGAAAAGGCTTGCAGAGGGAGCACTAAGTGCAAAATCCTTGTGACAATTTTGCTTGTTTATGAGGCAAAGTCATCAGTGACTTGATGGACAATGAGAAAGAGGAGTGCATTAGGAAGATGAATTAAGAGGCTTCTGTGATGCTCAAGGTCTGAGGTTTGCTCTGGAGTTCCAGTGGTTGGGCTAGAGAGTAGAATGAGACTCTAAAGTAAAGTATTCTCTTGGCCACCCCTGACTCAGGTAGAAACACAGAGGTGTAGCTTTTTTTTTTTTTGTCATGGGGCCTGAACTCTGGACCTGGGCACTGTCCCTCAGCTCTTTAGCTCAAGGCTAGTGCGCTACCACTTGAGCCACTGTGCTACTTCCCGTTTTCTAGTGGTTAATTGGAGATAAGAGTCTCATGGACTTTCTTGCCTGGACTGGCTTTGAACCTTGATCCTCATCTTAGCCTCCTGGATAGCTAGGATTACAGGCATGAGCCACCAGAACCTGATGAGGTGTAGCTTTTATCCATGGGGTCTCTCCCCCACACTTATACACTACCAAGGGAGGTGTGACCCATTTCCTATTTAGTAGCAATCTGTATCTGTCATGTTCTGTCCCCAGTCAGTGGAAGTCTGATGCAGAGCCCGGCCCTTATGCCTGGCCCCCGAAGGAACGAGCAGCCCTTCAAGAAGAGCTTAGTGATGTCCTCATCTATCTGGTAGCATTAGCAGCCCGCTGCCATGTCGATCTTCCCCAAGCAGTTCTCTCCAAAATGGACACCAACCGGCGACGGTACCCAGTTCACTTGTCCCGTGGCTCTGCCAGCAAGTATACAGACTTGCCTCATGGAGCTATCTCTGAAGACCAAAATGTGAGGTCTGCAGATGAACCCTCAACCTAGAAATACAGGACTGGGACCTATATCTCAACATGGAACCATCTTCCCCTTTCCTAACAACGGGCCTGAGAGCTCTATTTCCAGATGTCTGAGGCCCAGAACCTCTGCAGCTGCCTCCAAGTGTTTTCTCCCCCAATAAACGGTTTTGTGTAACCTCCAGATTTCTTCCTGTATAGCCAAGGAGGCTCTCTCTCAGCAGGTACTGCCAGAGAGGGTGCCTCAATTCCCAGTTCCCACATTTTCTTGTGCCTCATACCTGCAGGGTAGAGTTTGGGTTCTAGCAAAAATCTCGGTGGGATTTCAGGCAAACCTCCCACTAGATCTATAAAGAGAGAGATTAGAAACTGTGGTGCAGTGTTGGTTAAAAGGGGGTAAAATGCCAGCCTTGGGAGAAAAGGCTAAGGGACAGCACCCAGGCCCTGAGTTCAAGCACCAGCACACACGCGTGCACACACACACACACACACAGGATGGCCACACCCATAACTCAATTCCAGACTGTAGGCTTGGCCCCACCCAGCTCTCTAACACCCAGGCTGGAGATCATCCCATCCTCGTGAAGACAGAATACTTTATTCACTAACACGGGCCACGGGACTGTAGTGATGGGGGTGGGACACGGCTCCCAGGGACCCCGAGTTCCAGAGCAGCCAGGCCGGCCGGCCCCATCCTCTCCCGGGCCCAGGTGCAGGGGCGCGGGAGGAGCCACACGTCCAGGTCGGTGCAGCGCAGTCCCCCCGGGCCGAGGCAGGACCGGGGCGGCTCAGCTGCCCTCGCATTCCGGGCAGCGCTCGGTGGCGGTGGCGGCCGTGGCGCCGACTGGAAGCTTAAAGTCCCGGCCACAACCAACGCAGATGTAGAGGCGACGCCGCATGTGTGCGCGACGGTGGCGGATGAAGTGCGAGCTGAGGCGGAAGCGGCGGCCGCACTCCGCGCACGGGTAGGGCCGCTCGCCGGTGTGCGTGCGCGCGTGCTCCGCCAGATTAGAGCGGTGGCCGAAGCGCCGGCCGCACACGGCGCAGCGGTGCGGCTTCTCGCCCGTGTGCACGCGCCGGTGCTTGGCCAGCGCCGAGCTCTGCGCGAAGCGCGTGCCGCAGTCGGCGCATGCGTACGGCCGCTCGCCCGTGTGCGTGCGCCGGTGGCGCGCCAGGCACGAACTTCCGCCGAAGGCTCGTCCGCAGTCCGGGCACGCGTACGGCTTCTCGCCCGTGTGCACGCGCAGGTGCTGTGCGTAGTTGGAGCTCTGCGCGAAGCGCCGGCCGCAGTCGGCGCATGCGTACGGCTTCTCGCCCGTGTGGCGCCGTCGGTGCTGCCGCAGGTTCGAGGCGGCGGAGAAGCGCTTGTCGCACTCCGGGCACTGGTAGGGCCGCTCGCCCGTGTGCGTGCGGCCGTGTTTGGTCAGCGCTGATTTCTGCGAGAAGCACCGGCCGCACTCGGTGCACGCGAACGGCCGCTCGCCCGTGTGCGTGCGCGCGTGCTTGGCCAGCGTGGAGCGGCGCGCAAAGGCGCGGCCGCAGTCCGGGCACGCGTGGGGGCGCGCGGGGTCGACGGACGGCGCTGGCATCTCGCCCGGGACCTGCGGGGAGAGGAGAGGACATGTCAGCCCTGACCCACAGGCCCCCGGAGCCGGAGACCCGGGTCTCTAGAGCCCGTGGCAACCTCTTTGAGGACACAGCGGTGCCAGCAGGATAGGTAAATGGGGTTGTGTGTCTTCGCTGCATACGGAACACATCACCATGCCTGCTGGCATTCCAGCTATTCGTACTAGTTCAGCAAATACTTATTGGGCAGTTGAAATGTCCCAGAATGTGTCATGGGCACTGAGGATTCAGTACTAAGTAAGAAGACAGCATTTTAACATTTCTTCCTTTCAGGAAGAAAGGATGAGGGATGCTGGAAACTTAAATAGGGTTGTCAAAACACCTTAACGATAGAGTAACATCAGGGGAGAAGAGAAAAATGGAGAGATGGAGGCAGAAGAGTAAATTAGCCACAGTACTGACTGGCTTCTAGTGTAAATTAGATGGGGAGCCAGGTACTAGTGGCTCACACCTGTAATCCCAGCTACTCAGGAGCCTGAGATCCGAGGATCACAATTCAAAGTTAGCTCAAGCAGGAAAATCTGCAGAGACTTATCTCCAATTAACCAGCAAAGAGCTGGAAGTGGAGTTTGGTTCAAGTAGTAGCTCACCAGCCTTGAGCAAAAAAAAAAAAAAAAAAAAATCTAAGGGAGAGTGTGCCCTGACCCTGAGTTCAAGCCCATTATGGGCATGATTAAAGGTGGGGATCTATTAGAAGGGATGAAGAGTTTTGAGCAGGGAAGTGGCTAACTAGATCACCCTTAGATCAACAGGCTCCAAAAGAAACCAGTGGAGAGAAGGTGCAGAAGTAGGGGGTTCCACAAGGTGGCTAGTCAGTGATAAAAGAAGACAGGTGTGGGGAGGAAAGGGATGGTAGGGAAAAACAAAAGAGGGGGTAACAATGCTTTATAGGAAATAGACTCATTACCTTGCTCGTGTAACTGTAACCCCTCTTTACAGTATCATATATATGTATATGTATGTATATATACAACATATATATGTATATGTATACACACACATATATATGACATAGCTTAGATCCAAGAAACCTAAGTGGAAGGTGGAGTTGGTGGGAAGTTGGATTCTGGCTGTGGTTTGTAACAGAAGATTTAATAATAATGGATTCGAAGTGGTATATAAAGAGAATAATGAAAGGTTTTTTTGGGGGGTGGGGTTAGCAACTATTAAAGGAGCTGTCATTTATAGAGATGAAGATGATGGGAAGAGCAGGTTGTGAGGTGAGATCTGTTTGGGGCTTTGTGGACAGTCAATTCTTGACACATCTAGAGCTCAGGACTGTAGATGTTAACTGAGAAGCTGTCAACCTCCAGGTGGTTTTTAAAGCCTTGAGATGAGAGAAGATCACCCAGAGAATGGGCACAGAAAATCTGGGACAGCAAGATAAGCAGCCAGCAACCAAATCTGAGAAGAAGCAAGGACAGTGCCATCCTGGCAGCTGGGCCAGAATGTTTGACCGACTTTTAAGAGTAAGCACCTTTTATTTTTTTAAGCTGTGAAGAAAAGAGCAATGGTTAAAAAAAAAAGAAAACCAACTGGTATTCTGAGGACTAAAATGAAAGTATTTGGAAATGAGCCACTTTCATGAAGCTAACAGTTTTGAGAGATAAAACCAGAAAGAAAGAAAAAGATAGCTTTGTAGGAGGTGGGTAAAAGGAAACATTTTGTATTAACAGCAAATAGGAATGATGAGGCTCTACTTCCTTAGAAAAGGGAATGCTCAGTTGGGAGCAGGCTCACACCAGTAATCCTAGCTACCCAGGAGGCTGAGATCTGAGGATCATGGTTCAAAGCCAGTCTGATTGGGAAAGGGCTCCAGACTCTTACCTCTAATTAACAAGCAGAAAACCAGAAGTGGAGCTGTGGTTCAAAAGAATGCTCAGCCAAGGAAAACTGTAATGAGTATCTAGTGTGGGTCAAGCAATTAAGAGCACTAATTCATAACTGAAGGAAATCTCTGGCATATATTAAGGTCAAGACTGTGTTAGCATCTCTCATATCCAATGTTTTGTTTTTTTTTTAATTTTCCCTTGTGCCAGACCTGGGGCTTGAATCTGGGGTCTGGGCACTTCCCTGAGCTTCTTTTGCTCAAGGCTCGTGCTCTACCACTTGAGCCACAGCTCCACTTCTGGCTTTTCTGAGATAGTTTATTGGCGATAAGAATCTCACCAACTTTCCTGCCCAGGCTGGCTTTGAACAGTGATCCTCAGATCTGTCTCCTGGGCAGCCAGGATTATAGGCATGAGACGCCAGCACCTGGTGTATTCCTGTTGTTATCCTGTTTAAAGATGATGAAACATGGTAAAAGATAATTAACTGCTTTTCTGAAGCTACAGATGGGCAGCTCAAGATCAGAGAGTACCAGGTACCTCTGGCCCATGCTGCTGAGGAGGCTGAGGTCTGACGATCTTGGTTCAAAGCTAGCCTGGGCAGAAGAGTCTATGAGACTCTTATCTCCAATTAACCTCCAAAAATCATAAGTGGAGGTGTGGTTCAAATGGTAAGAATGCCAGCCTTGAGCAAAAAAGCCAAGTGAGAGTTTGAGGGCCTGAGTTCAAGCCCCACTGTCAGCACAAAAAAAGTTGGAAAAAAAAATAACTTTGAATTCAAACTGGGAATCAGAATAAATTGAAAATTTAGCAACTGGTTAATTTTAACCATATACTACTACTACTAATAATAATAATAATAATTCAACAGTCCCTTCACCCATGATTTGACTTTCCTATTTCAGTGCTGTCAAGCATGATCAGAAAATATCAAGTGGAGGGGCTGGGAAGGTGGCTCAGTGGTAGAGCGCTTGCCTTGCATGCATGAGGCCCTAGGTTCGATTCCTCAGCACCACATAAGCAGAAAAAATCGGAAGTGGTGCTGTTGCTCAAGTGGTAGAGCACTAGCCTTGAGCTGAAGAGCTGAGGGACAGTACCCAGGCCCAGAGTTCAGGCCCCACAATAGACAAAAAAAAAGAAAAAAGAAAAAAGAAAAAAAAAATCAAGTGGAAATTCCAGCTCCCCCCCCCCCCCCCCCAAAATCAATCTGTAAGTTTCAAGTAATTTTTATTACAGGATACTGTTATAATTGTTCTATTGTTCTAGTGGTTGTTAATCTCTTTTTTTAATTTATAAATTAAACTTTGGAAGTAGAAATGTGGCTTAAAAGGTACAGTGCCAGTTCCCCTCCCCATTTTTTTTTCTTTTTTTTTTTATGGGGCTTGAACTCTGGGCCTGGGTGTTATCCCTGTGCTCTTTTGTTCAAGGCTACCACTTTGAGCCACAGTGCCATTTTTGGTTTTCTGGTGGTTCATTGGAGATAAGAGTCTCACACAGACTTTCCTGCCTGGGCTGGCTGTGAACCTTGATCCTCACATCTCAGCTTCCTAAGTAGCTAGGATTATAGATGTGAGCTACTAGTGCCCAACTACAGTGGCAATTTTGAGTAAATAAGCCAAATGAGAGAGCAAGGCCTTGAGATCAAGCCCCAATTTTGGCACAGAAAAAGTAATTATAGATATGCAGTTAGGAAAAAAAGCATAGTTAGGAAAAAAGCATAGTATATGTAAAGTTTCAGGGTTTCACTAGGAGGTGTCTTGGAATATATCCATAAGGCAGGGAGGGGACTGCCATTAATGCCACAGTATTAAGCTTTGACAACACGACTCTATGTACATTATTGCACTCACTCTTAGTCAGGTGTTACCTCTTTTTTGGTAGAGAAGCCTGAGACTGAAGGAAGCAAATTTCATAATCGAGGGGCAACCAGGAGACAATGCTTCCCCGAATTGACACCACCAAGCTGGAATAGGCTGGACTCCAAGTCCCTGACTTTCTCCAAGAGAGATTCAAGTTAAAATAAAACTCGATACTTTAAATCAAGAAACTCCCCACTGCAGGGCTGGCAGAGCCTCAGTGCAAGGTCACACTTGGCAGTCTTGGCCTGGTTTTGACATGCAGGGTTTATTCCAACACTTCAGCCATTGTGAAGAGAACTTTTCTCATTACATTGATATTTTTCTGGCCTTTTTTTTTCTTTCCCTTGGCACCCTTCTTTAAGGTGACTTTGGTGCACCCTGGGGACTTCTTATTGACTTCACTGACATGGAAAACAAATAAATTCTTCACATAAGCATGAAGATCAAGATGTATTATACTTATCAACCTATTTGTTGAATAGTAACCCCTGTGTACAACTACTTAAATATCAAAACTTTAATTATTTATGTTTTGTTGGTTTTGGGGCTTGAACTTAGGGACTGGGTGCTGTCCCTGAGCCTCTTTTTCCTCAAGGCTAGTGCTCTACCACTTGAGCCACAGCACCACATCCAGTTATTTTTATTTTTTATTTATTTATTTTTTTATGTCTCTTTGTAGGTCATAGGGCTTGAACTCTGGGCCCAGGCCCTGTCCCTGAGCTCTTCAGCTCAAGGCTAGCACTCTACCACTTGAGCCACAGTGCCACTTCCATTTTTCTGGTGGTTAATTGGAGGTAAGAGTCTCATGGACTTTCCTGCCCAGGCTGGCTTTGAACCTTGATCCTCAGAACTCAGCCTCCTGAGTAGCTAGGATTACAGGTGTGAGCCACCAGCACCCAGCCACTTTCAGTTTTTGAGTGATTAATTGGAGGTAAGAGTCTCGTGAGGACTTTTTTGCCTGGGTTGGCAAAAAAGTAGCTAGAATTATGAGTGTGAGGCACCAGTGCCCAGCTTAATTTAATTTTTTTTTAAAAAAGAAGAATCTTGATTCTTGGTGCTTGAAGAAGAATCTTGGTAAGAAGCTGATTCTAGCTTACTAAGACTCTGGGCTACTCATTTGTTTATCCTGTCTCAAGGTCTTGAGGACATAAGTTCAAAGTTTCCCAATTTGCGGTGGCCACAGTGTAAGATACAAGAACATTCTAGGTCATGTGTGGGAAATTTTCTATCTTCTTATAATCATTATGTGTTTATTTCATGGACATTAGAAAAACCATGGATTACACG